TTGCTAACATTTGTTAAATTCTGTTTGCCAATATTGTAGTGTTTTGTGCGTTCGTTCTTATGTTCTTTGACTTATTCTTAAAAAACAACCAGGTCAGTATCCCTTAAAATATAGACATGAGACAATGTTCGAAACCGATTGAAATGAGTAAGAAGTTTGGGGAAAAAAAAATGTAAGCTTAAATATTTTGTGATATTATAATATGAATTTTATGAATAATTGGAAAGGAAGAGTCTCGATATAGCAAGACTAAAAAACAACAATAAACTTAGGCCGTCTTCCAGTGAACGGTATTGAAGAAAAACAAAGGATGCTGGAGAATAATCAAGGTACGTATTATTGGTCTACATGGGCCGCTGAAAATACTCAGGCACTTATGTGAAACAAATTAAATGTTATTGGGAGTGTTGGGTCACACTATATATATTGAATTAATATTGAAGAAGGAACCAATCCGATAAGAAGGAATAAAAATATCAATAAACATAGCCTTTTTCCCAAGGCACCCATGTTATCCGAATGATCTCCTCCCACCTATATCTGTTCCAAAAAGTCCTGTTCTCTACCCCCTTTGCTCCTATTTCATCGAGGTCTCCCGAGCAAAAGAGGAGAAAAAAGGTGAGGCCATCAACGGTTTGTCCGACCTCGATCGCTAGGGATGGTTCTTCCTGGATCCACGACCTTAGAGGCTGGCTGGGAAGAGGTGCGGTACGCCGCATAGACCCATTTATGGGGGTGGTGCAATGTTGATGAGGTGGAGCCAACGCCTACTTCTGAGATATGGGTACTACGGACTACTTCCTAGCGATCGGGGCTCCGAAAAGTCGGGGAAGACATGTTGCCTTTTTCAAATCTTTTGTGGACGGATGACTGACTTAGGATACCTAAGCCCGGCCGCAAGTAGGAGCCGCCTCGATTATGGTGGATTGAAACCGAAAGAAGCTCCGATCCCAGTGACAAATTTATCCGAACAGGAAAGTAAGCCCTGCCAGAGAGTGACAAATGGCAAACGTGGATAAACGAGGTACGTATGACTCTATCGCAGGAGGCCCTGAAAAGACTAAGGGGCGTATAGGATCATAAATTGAACATAAGAAACGAATGAGGCATACAAACAAAATAGGAGGCGTCTTAATTAACCTCAATAGGAGTTCAAAGAAGTTTCGCTCTCGATTAAAAGTTTGCAAAAACATGAAAGTGAACCTATACATCTTTATTTGCGCGAACAAATAAATTCCGATGTGAATTGACATTGATTTACGTGGATAGACGCGCTAAAAATAAAATAAAATGAACTTACTCCTTATTTTTTTTTATCATCTTTGCTTCACATTTTTGTTGCGTTCTTTGTGTTGCACTACCTCTTCTTTGTTTTTTTTTTTTTCTTTTCTTTTCTACTTGACACTATATTACTTTTCTTCATATAATTGCATCTATATATGGATGTTTTGAGGTGTATTCTTTTCGTTTCGTTTTTTTGTATGCATCTTATTCCTCCTGGCCGCCGTAACGTGCTCATGTACAAATACATACATACGTGCCCATTAACATGGCAGAGGACCAAGGTCCACATGACGATTCAACCAACAGTAATTTATCCACCGTTTCAACCTTCTCTTCACTTGCGGATACGTCCTTGCATGTTCCGTGGAAGCGTCGCAAACGCCTTCGGCGTTGTGAAAGCGTTGTTAAGGATCCTCGAGTGTCTTCGCCAATGGTGTCAGAGTGTATTGAGTGTCCTTCCGTTCTTCCAGGTCAAGTCGGTTTGTCTTCGTTAGACTGCCCTTCTTCCTCATCAAACCATGGATTGAGATTGCGTATAGACTCGAATATTACTCCCAGTCACTCTGCGAGTGACACACCAATGTCATCACAACACGAACACCGCAAACGCGGACCACCCGTTTCCCAAAGTCGTCGAGCCCGAAGGTCTTTAGAACAGGCGGTAGGTGCTGCAAGTGAGGCGATTGCTCCCAGGAGAGATAAGCAACCGATGGTAACTCAAGATGATGGTTCTGATTGTTCTCTCGAAGAACTATATAGTGATATGTCTCTATCTTTTCGACAAGCGATTCCATCGATGAATGATTTCACAAGCCCTGTGTTTTTCAAAAGAACGAGTTAAGGAAATATTAATGTTCATATGGATTCCATTAGTTGTCAAGAAAATCTTTCTATGACCTTGCAAAGTGAACATCCACTTGAAATTCGTACGGATGTCGCAATAAATGCAGATTCAATTTCGATGGTCGAAAGATCGGTTTTACTCCATGATTTTCTCTTGCACTTGCTTCATGTGTACAATTATTCATCGTCGACATTGACTGCCGATGTCCGGCCAAAATTTGTGAAGAGCAACCTTTCTCCCACTTTCACAAATGTTCATGGACATTCATCTGTTGTTGCCACTGCCCAACCGAATTCTCCGAACACATTAAGTAGAATGTTTATTGGATCTCATAATCGATGAAGAAGATTATTATTTTGGAAACCGATTCGTTCAAGGCGCAAGAGAAGGTACCGTATGTTGTTGATTCGACGACAGCGTGTGAATAAAGTCGTGCGTCGTTTGGAACTTGGATCTTTGTCGTTGATGCCTAACCGTGTGTCATCGGGCTATGATGCAAGTGAAAAGGTTGTTGAAAGTACTGCAGAGGTTGATGAAGGATCGGAACAAGTCAGTAGAACGAATGTGAACGAACCATGTTCTACGTCGCGTATAATTTCAAAACAAGGGAAAAGCCAGGGAAGACGACCAAACTTTCATGTTAAACGTATGCGTGCATTGAGAGTTGCGCTTAAGAATCATAGGAGGAAAAAAAATTTGCGTGCTCATAAAGATTTTATGCGGGGTGTGAGGCGAAGTTTGTTCGTTGTGAATATTCTTCGAGAGATTCGAGCGAGCGCCTCTACGCAATGGAGGAGTGCATCTTCTCCTGGGAGACAATCGCCGAGTCGAGCGAGCGCATTTGCAGAGTCTGTCATCGCGAGCTAGAGAATCGCAGAATTCATCCGTGATAAATCGAAATTCAATGAACAATCGTGAAGACGGTGAACTAAATAGCCGCGAGGAAGAAATGAATGATTCATATGATGTTCCATCTCCTGATCTTAATGCACTCCCATCTGCATCCGTGGCAACAATGTATGCGGCGATTGAGAACACGGTTGCAATTTTTGGGAATGCTAGCACTGTTGAACTATTCGGGATTGGCGGTCGATATCCGTGTAAGCATTGTGGTGCTAAATTGTGGCATCATGAAACAAAATGGACAAAGATGTGTTGCCGAAAAGGTACAAAACGTTGTCCTTTATGGGAAAAGCCTTGCGAAGGCTACCCGGAACATGAGATTCTTTCCCTTTGGACTTCTCAAAGTTTCGACGGCCGATTCCTTCGAAACAATGCGAGGATAATTAATAATAGTTTATCCCTCGCATCCTCACGGTTGAAGCAACCGAGTGATAATGTTCGAGGATTCCAGGGCCAACTTCGGGCTCAAGGCCAATCTTTCATCGTATCTGTGCATTGGCTGTCGGGGAAGGGGAACGTCCTCAATTTGCGCAACTATACTTGCATGATCCTCAACGTTTGGACGATGCGATTGATCAAAGGGTAGATTTCCTTAATTTACCTACACGTACATCCGATGCTGAACTTGATCAAGCGAAACGAATATTGAGAAGGTTTCACGAATTGCTACAACAATGTAACAATTACGTGAAGGACTTTATGACAGTTGTTGACCTTCCATAGAAAGCCTTGAATGAGAGGAAGTTGGTTATAAATCCGGATGCCATGCCTGAGGAGGAACATGCAAGGCGTTTTAACTGTCCTATGAGTCTACATGAGGTGTGTGTTTTGATCACCGATGAACTCCTTCCTCGTGAGCTTGAGATTTGTTTGCGTGCTCCTCTTCGTGGTGAGCGGCAGACAGTATTGGTTCCGGAATGTTCTCGAGCGCACGACTGCTTAAGGTTTGTTTTGCTTTTCCCGGATGGAATTGATAGTTGGTCTGTCCGACGTGCCTCGGAGGCTGGATGGCCGCCAGGACTTAGTGCCAAGGAGTACTATGCATTTCACCTTCACGAGCGTGATGGTAAAAGACCTTTCCTCCTCTATGCAGCACGTCTCTTCCACGAGTTTTGTTGCATGGCGTACGCTAAAGTTGAATCCCTCCGTTTAAAATGGGTGAGATTACATCAAAAATAATTACGCTCAGAGTATTATCAGGATTTACGAGACGCTGTGCAACAAAATCAACGTGGTGACGATATTGGGACGAAAGTGGTTTTACCGTCAACGTTCACTAGGGGACCCCGATATATGAGTGAAAGATATCATGACAGCATGGCAATTGTGAGACGATTCGAAAAACCGGATTTTTTCATCACTATGACGTGCAACACTAACTGGCCGGAGATCAAACAAGCCCTACTGCCAGGTGAATGTCCTAACGACAGACCGGATCTTCTCACGCGAGTGTTCAAAGGTTATCTTGCACAAGTGATTGATGAGATAAAGAACAAATGGATCTTTGGTAGGGTGAGTGGAATGTTGTATGTGGTGGAGTTTCAGAAGAGGGGTCTACCACACGCACATATATTTGGTTATCCTGCATCCGGATGATAAAATTCGAGATGCGGATGCTGTTGACAATGTGGTGTGTGCCGAGATTCCTCCGGAAAGGGAATTGAGAGAAAACATAGCCAAGTTCATGTTACATGGGATTTGTGGTGCGGAGAAACACGATGCTTCGTGTACGGAGGATGGAGAATGCACAAAAGGGTTTCCGAAAGACTTCATTTCCACAACGACATTCAAAGACGAACAAACGTACCCTTCGTATAGGACAAGGAAACCAAGTGACGGTGGTTTTACGATTGTTCAAAATGGTGTCGTTTACGACAATCGCCGTGTGGTCCCGTACAACCCGTACTTGCTAATGAGGTTTAATTGCCACTTGAATGTTAAATATTGTGCTAACATCAAGGCGTGCAAGTACGTGTATAAGTACGTGTACAAAGGGTGCGATCGTGCTTTCGTTTGCGAGCGGGATAATAATGCGCCCATCGATGAAGTTAAATTGTATCAAGATATGCGTGTTGTAGGTGCATTCTCCTGAGCCGATGCGGGTGCTTCGCCAGCCAATCGGCTATGGCCTGCGCATTCGGCTATGGCTTGCGGGTGCTTCGCCAGCCAATCGGCTATGGCCTGCGCATTCTCTTGAGCCTTTTCCACTCTCAGAGACAACGTCTGCATTCCCTTCAGTATCAAGAAGCTGTCGAAAGCGCTCAGGCACGCTCCTTCGGACAACTGGAGGAAGTGGATGTCCTTCGCGAGCTGTTCCCCCCTCACGGCCAGGAAACCACCCATCACGTCGCTGTGCCCGGACATGAACTTCGTCAGCGACTCCATCACGATATCCGCGCCGTGATCCAACGGCCTCGAAAGTGCCGAGGACATTATGCTATTGTCCACCACAACCAGCGCGCCCGTCCTGTGCTCGATCTCGGAGATGGCAGCGATGTCCGTGATCTGCAGCAAAGGGTTCGTCGCGATCTCCAGGAAGACAAGCTTCGTTTTAGACGACACGGCCGCCCGGATCTCGTCCATGTTGCTCGTGTTCGCTCGCTTCACCGTCACGCCCCATCGTGTGACAAGGCTGGTGAGCAGGCTGTCCGTCCCGCCGTAGATGTCATCGTCCGCCACGATCTCGTCGCCGACCTCCACCATCTGCATCACCGTCGTCAGCGCGGCCATTCCCGTCGAGAAGCAGAACGCACGATCGACATCGTGCAGGCGAGCAATGTGCTTCTCCAGCGTCGATCTCGCGGGTTGTCGAAGCGCGAATAGAGAAACGAACCAGCTTTCGTGACGGACGGAAGCTTGAACGTGGCCGTCAGATAAATCGGAGCGTTCTTGGCGCCGTAAGGATCGTTCTTATCCTGGAAGTGCAGAGCGAGCGTAGAGAATGCCAAGCCATGGTGGTTGTACTTGGAGCCCGTCGCCTTCACGCCATTACAACCGGCTTCAGCCATTGCTGCCGCTGTCCCCCACCAGTCGAAGAACCAAAATTAGCACTGGAAAGAGATTTACCGCCGATGCGTAGGCAGATGCTCCTTGAAGCGTAGACGAAGACTATCACTGCCAGCGCCGTTGGGCTGACAGCTAGTACACAGGGCGGCATGACCGATGAGCAAGAAACGGACGTTCGCCGTAACGGCCGCCACAGACAAGGAACAAAAAGATAAGACGAAAGCAAGAGTGATCTGCTAACGAGCTAACGAGCTATGGCAGTTAGCTCATGCGTCCACCGGGTTAACTTGTTCGCCGACCGCCGCGAGGATGGGGCAGCATTCGATTCTTATACTGAAATGAAAATGCTGTTACTAAAATTAAAAAAAAAAAAAAAAAAAAAAAAAATGTTGCCACCCCGCTAACGCTGGAACACATGTGGCTGCGCTATACGTATGGAAATTCATGCAAGGGACTGCCTGCCTCGAGGCAAAAGAAACGTGTAAGGCCGCCGTCACTGAGAAAGCCGGTTCCGAGTACAGGCATCCGGTCCCGTCCGGTGTTCCACATAGAGGGCCTCGCAACACCCGCTGTCGAAAACCAGGTTTTGTTTTTACCTTTTTTTTTTTAATTAAAAAAGTTAAAAAAACAGGTTTTGGACTATTTTACATCGCCCCACAGACTTTCGAAGAATTGCGGCTCTATATCGGTGGTATCCATGCTACCCCTTTGAAACGGCCGTTCAATTACCGTCGATACTATCGATCTTGGCGGCTGAATTGGTGCCTTGTCAGCAGAGCAGACCTGACAGTTCGCGATGATGAACTTCACATCGTCACGGATATTGGACCAATACCACTTATTTTTGTCGATTGTCGCCTCCGTAATCCGTACGGCAAAATGGGCAGCCGTTTCCTCATGCGTTGTCTTAACCCAGTCATACCTCATGAACGGATGCGACACTACCATCCAAATCCCACTACCATCCGTTTTCCGTTTTTCCAACCGTCCCTCATTCCAGCGGTAGTCCCAAGCCCTTTCATTGGCCCTCCTCCGATCTTCCCTGGTGAAGTCCTGGAGGGGGTTTCCTGCCAAGGTGGCAATTAGGGCGATGTCCGTCCATACCTCGGCCCTTCTAAACTTCCGGGTCTTTTCCAACCCTTCAGACGTGGCATCAAGAAATCGAGTTTCCGTCGGGATCTTGTCAGTCCGACAGAAGGGACAATCTCTGTACTGGATGCATGAGCCATGGGCTCGTGCGACACACTGTCGACAATCTACCCATTCCGCATACCCTTCCCCGCTAGGGCGCATAGAGACCGAGTATACGCGAGAAATTGCTTCGCATAAATAACAAAATTTATCAGGGAGGGAGAGGAGAGATGAGGAGGAGAGGGGAGAGAGGGGAGTTGTAGGGTTACCTCGCATGAGATGGTGCCTTTTTCCAAACCTCTATATAATTTTTGATTTCAACCTTGGCCAATGTTGTTGCGACAATTTCAGATTTTCTTGCGAATCGTCCTGGATTTTCTGTTCATGGTGTGTAGTGGAATAAACTTGTGCTCTTCTCTCACCCCTCAAGTAATCTTGGGATGCTAGCTTAATTCAAATTCGTAACTTTTTTATTATCCATTTTGTGCTTGGGCTGGATACGGTCGTCGCGCATGTCGCTGATTTGCCAGCCTTCGGATCTTGTGTGAGGGATGGTGTCTTTTTCTCCCTCATCTAGGTAGTTTTGACAAGTGGCGTCAGCCATCTTTTTGCCCATGACTATCTCTGGTTTTTGTTCTTCTTGATGATTGTCAAATCTTTGCGAACTCTTCTGATTGATTGTATGCATGTCATCGTTTTGAGAAAAGAAAGAACTCCAACACACGTGTGCATGAAAAATTCCTCAGCGGCCCTTGTTGAATGCTTTGACTAACAAGTGAATGATTGATTCAAATGTGTGATTTCCCTCTGATTTCCCTCCCGATGTCTGTGTTTGGACACGTGCGCTCGAATGCGTAAGTGCCACATGTGGAGCTAGCCTGCCGACCAATCAAATATTAATTGCCCGACAGGAGAATAGCCAGCCGATCTGATCCGACTGATTGCGAACATGATCTTGTGCACGCACGTGTAAGCGTGACCAAAAAGGGCGTTGCCTACACGCGTGTCTGCAAGACCCGCATTCGAACCCATGTCTAAACTTGCGCATCTCGGACAGCATGGATCGCTGGACTCCCTTCGACGTCACGGATAGGGATAGTCTGAGACATCGCCGGTTCAAAGAATACTGGGAGTGGAAAAACGCCTGTCTCCTCGCGCGACCCAGACCCTACCCTCCGAAATTTCCCTTTCGGACCAAAAACGAATGAGTCTGTGGGTGAGACATTGAACGGGCCTTAAGCGCGATCCCTTTCCCCTCTCAATTGCCTAGTTCACACGCGAGCTACATCATCGCCGAACCTGGAGTCATCATCATTGAGACAGCCTTCCCTCCCCACCGCCTTGTGTTGCCTTTTCGCTGCCTAACAACAGCCCCGTGGCACGTGATTGCCCCCTATTGGCCTCGAACCCCGTGCTCCAAGTGCCAGCAGGACAGCGAGTACCGAGCAGCGGGGTTCGTTCGGCGAACCCGTACTGAAGCTGAGCAGCGAACGCACAGCCTATGCCTGAGGCCCGCTTCGTCCGACTCCGAGGCTTGTCACGAGCGACACCAACAATTAATTAGGCAACGCGACACCCATAGCGTTCCGCCGGTTCACCAAATCCGAGCCCGGCCTCGGCAAAGAAACTTGCAGGGATGGTGATGGCATTCCTCAAGGCATGAAAGCCAGACGCGACCCACACTTACTATCTTTCACAATTGTCCCGAAAGACTTGTCACAGGAGATTCCAGCTCCGACCTAGAACTCCACCCCCACTATCCTAAAATCCTTGGCACACCCCTTTCCTCACTTCCGGGGCCCCATCCCACTCTGATCAGGAAGTCGCGCTGGGCGCGAGGTTTGGGCGTCACATACCTTCTCATGTTGCATTTGCATCAAAACTGCAAACACACGCAGGTGTGTTTGTGTGTGTGGGGGGTGGGGGAGGGAGGGAAGAGGGGTGGGTGGGGAGAGAGAGAGAGAGAGAGAGAGAGAGAGAGAGAGAGAGAGAGAGAGAGAGAGAGAGAGAGAGAGAGAGAGAGAGAGAGAGAG